AATATACCCAAAACTCATCATTACACACACTCAAAACCCATTTATAAACATACCCAAAACCCATCATTACACACATACCCAAAACCCATTTTGGGTATGTTTCTATGTTTAAATAGTGCTTGGGTATTTTTATAAATACATGTCTAGGATTGGGTATTTTTATAAATATCTATTTTAAAATCATTCACTTAAAACCATGGAGCCATTCTCCAATCGGAACCCTTGTTGGCTAAGCTCAAACCTTTTAAAAAAAGAAGTATTTTCTTATGGATGAAAGATAATTGATTGTAAGATGTGCATCTAGAGAAAATAGAAGAATAAAAAAAATACATAAGATGCAACTCTCAAGGCAGATCATTGATATCATCAACATTATTCCAAATGTGTAATTAGGTTAAGCTCAACATTTTTAAGCTCTTGTCAAGTTGAAGAGAGTTAAACCTATGCCACGTTAGTACACTTAACAATTTTATGGATAGCGATAAAGTGGGATATGGAATTAGGTTCCGCATGGTTAAATGCGAAATTTTGAATTTCACGAGGTAATTGAGTGTACAACAAGAAAGGCCAACTAAACCTCTTTAAAAGATTGGAATTAAATCTCTAAAACAACCCTAATTGTACACACTGTGGGAACACATATTTTCGGCAACTAAAAGAAATGTGACACATGGAAGATGGAGTATTCTTTAGGTCAACTAATTGTTCTAATTAAATTCCATTTAATTAGGCAATTATCTTTGATTTAAGATAGGGATATCTCCCCGAATCAAGGATGAGATTTCTACCAAATCTCCTTAATTAATCTCATCACCTATTTTTGGGTAAGAATAATTCCAATTAAATATGGAATTATTCTAAAAACCCTAGCCAAGTAAGGAGACTATATAAAGGCAAGCATACACCACCTTTGAGGTAATTCCAAAACCATAGTAATTTTTCTCATCTCTCCCTCTCTCTCGCCGCCCTCTCCTCTCTCTCCTTCACGGCCACATGCCACTACACACACGACTCCGGCCACCTGGCTTTCCCCGTGAGAGAAAACTTCAACCTTTTCGTTATCTCCGCATCTTTCCAAAGATCATTTAATTGACTTAGGCATTGGAGGGCCTTTGATCAACACCCCCCAGGTGTGGTTTGTTGACTCCAATCTATTTTACATGGAGTGAGGAAGAAGAAGAAGAAGAAGGAAGTTCAAAGGGTGGAGGAATCTTTTGCAAATATTCTTCCGTGAGATTATTTGCACAAACAAATTGTTTCTTTCATTGAGAGCTTCGAAATATACTCAAAGCATTGCTCTCAAATCTAAGGAATATGTTTCCTTCCATTCATCATTCATCCAAAGCCTTCCGAGCAACCATGGTTGGAAGAAAACGCATGAAGAGCAAGACCGCCGCGATGACTCAATTCGCAACCGATCCGAGCCAACACAACAGCTCGGCGTCGAACCAACAGCCGCACTCCACTGCGGAGACCAGGAATCCACATCACGGCCCCTTGGCTACCATCGCGGTTCAAGCGCATGGTGCCACACCACCTTATGGCTCAACATCCAAGAGCTTGAATCCTACACACGCCATTGCACCACCACTAAGCCTTGTGTTGGTTCTCTTTTCCTGTCAAGTATTCTTTTTGCCCAATGTCGTAGTAGGCGTGCTCGAAAGAATACAGGAGCTGTTAGACCTACACCAATGCCCCGATTGTTTCTTTCTTGGCCCACACAGATGTTATTTCAATATTCAACGAGATTGAAAGTTGAATCAGGTTGATGAGAAATCCAGTCCAGCCCTATCTTGGGCCTAACCTCTGCAATTCTTCTGATTCATGGGTTCTGCTTTATAGGCGTGCCACTGTTGGATGTATGACCAGTCCAACAGACCTGGTATGAGCGA